TCTATAGCCTTGTAGCTGTGAAAACATCTCTGAAATTTTGCTATGTTAGGGTGTGTCTAGAATACATGGCTCCGTTGATGGAGCCATGTAAATTAGTTTATTGGGCATAGTCAAAGAAGCAGGGATTTAAATAATCCCCGCTTCATTAAAATAAACCATCAGCTGATTCGACACAGCGTGGGAGTCTAGACGCGGATCTGTCGGCTGGGGAAGCCTTTGCCGACCGATCCCTTATGCCTTGTGAAACTAGACTGCTGTGCGGTGTCAGATCAGCTGATCGTTGGCACAACACGGCGGCCATGTTTATTTTAATGAAGCAGGGATTATTTAAATCGCCGCTTCTTTGACTATGCCCAATAAACTAATAGTCTAGACACACTCTTAGAGAATTAGCCACTTTTAAATGGGGGCACTTTGACTTCTGCATTGCAAAGTAGTCAGAACACACTTACCACATCATCCTTAAAAAGAGAAAAACTTTGTTTCTTACCCCACCCCCATTTTTGTAGGAAGCAGACACAAGTCATATAAACCATAGGAGAGACGCAGTTGGGCTAGAAAAATAAAAGAATGCCCTTGAGGGAAAAATAAACAGTGCTGACTACAAGCAGCACAAAAAGCTCTTGGCTCTGACCAGTGTTAACCATAACAAGAGAGTAAACTATTTCCTAGGCCTCTGGTGGAAACATTTCAGTTACTTTACCATTCAACAGTAGACCAAAATGTCAGCTAACTCACTTCGGGCGAGCTAATTGTGGGTCAACTCTCTTGATGCATAATGCCCCATTCTAGTATAGGGCTATCAAATTCAGTGAGGAATAGATACAAGAGGAAAAAAGGCTAGCCAATCAGGTAGCATGTTCTTTTCTGTTTCTTAGGTGAAATTTAGCAGCACTTCTTTTTCTCCCTGTGGCGGGGTACCACCCGCCTCCGCTCCGTTTCCCCTGGGGAACAAAGCGTTAACCCCCAGCCCGGGGGCCTAGTCCAGCACTCGCAGCAGGCCCAGCGGCCTAGTCCAGCACTGCGGGGTGGGGTAGGGGGGTCCGGGCCCTCCCTTTCCACCGGACCCCAACCCAGGGCCCTGTTAGTGGTGGGTGGTTCCCACCACTGGCTCAGCGGGGGGTCCTCCCCCAAAACATGCTAAGCCCACTGGGGGGGGGGGTTTCCCGGCCCCTTGCCCTGGGTTGCTTCCTACCCCCAATCTGGTAGCCGACGGAGGTCCCACCTGGCGATGCTGGGTTGCCGGCAGCGTCTTCGTCCGACGGGCTTGTCCCTGGGGCAGCGGCACCGGGCGTTCTGCAGCAGGGCGGGTGGCCAACGGGCGTCGGTGTTGAGGGCGGGCTCGCCCCGGGGCTGGTGGCAGAAGCAGCAGCGCCTCCTCCGGCTCTGGATCTGGCGGCAGGTCCGGCGGCAGGCCAGCAGCTTGGGCCGGAGCTCCTGCCTCCCCAGCGTTCTGCCTCAACTGAGCAGCCCAGCAGTCTTTTATAGTGAGGCTGCACTTCGAGCATGCCCAGTAGGGCTGTGGGGGAGGGGCGTGTTCTGCCCAATAAATGGGCTCCCCTTCCTCCTGCTCAGTGCGGGGGCAGGTTAGCCCTGTCACACTCCTCTTCAGATAAGTGTTGGATATGAATGTAGAAGCCAGACTCTTCGTATGTCTGTAATGAGATCTATAGAGATGTAATATGCTACAAATCCACTGATGACATCAAATCAAACACCTCATTGCTGAAAATTAAGTAAACCCTATACTTAGTATTGGGCTAAGTTTAGCGGCTCAGAAGAGCATGCTGCTTTAGCTGGAGAACAATTTTCTTCCCTAGATGGAAGGACCAGTTGCCGGAGTAGAATCACCAATGTCTTTCTTTACATAAGATCCTACCAAAATATCAAGTCTTCACTGCTAACCAGCAGCTATAAGGTATCCACTTGTAGCCCATCTACTTGGACTCCTGATTAAGGGTTCAGAGGAGTCAACAAATGTGAACCTCATGCATAGGGAATTCTGAATCACAAATCTCTAAACCACAGGATGTCAATCTAGCAGCCAGCTCTACCATAGCACCATTAACAATCCTCACCCAATGGAGGCTGTTGAAACATTCTTTAAATATTTTGCTTGATGGTGCTTGCACTAAATGCAGTCAATCTGGCTGCACCTGGCAGCTGAGACTTCAGTGACTACTAATTAACCAGTGATAGAAATGTAGCCATGTTAGTCTGGGGTAGTTGAAGCAAAATGCAGGACAATGTAGCACTTTAAAGACTAACAAGATGGTTTATTAGATGATGCGCTTTCGTGGGCCAGACCCACTTCCTCAGATCAAATAGTGGAAGAAAGTAGTCACAACCATATATACCAAAGGATACAATTAAAAAAAATGAACAAATATGAAAAGGACAAATCACATTGCAGAACAGAAGGAGGAGGCGGGGGGGTGGGAAGGGGGAGGAAGGAAGGTAAGTGTCTGTGAATTGATGATATTAGAGGTAGGGAGAGTGGGATGTTTGTGAGTTAATGGTATTACAGGTGATAATTGGGGAAACTGTCTTGATAATGGGTGAGAAAGTTCAAAGACTTGTTAAGTCCCTGGTGGTAAGTGTCGAATTTTAACATGAATGACAGTTCAGAGGATTCCCTTTCAAGTGCAGATGTAAAAGGTCTTTGTAGCAGAATGCAGGTGGCTAAGTCATTTAGAGAGTGTCCTTTCTGGTTAAAGTGGCAAGAAACTGTTTTCTCTTTGTGATCTTGTCTGATATCTGTTTTGTGGGCATTAATCCTTTGGCGAAGTGTCTGAGATGTTTGTCCAATGTACATAGCAGACGGACACTTTCGGCACATGATAGCATGGAAAGGAAGCTTGCTTTTCCATTCACAAGTGCATGCTAGTACCAATCATAGTTTGCATACAAATCTTGCTGGCATGTGCTTTATTTCATATGGCTTTAGTGGCTATCCTGCAAATATTTATGGTCCAGGGAGGACAGTGAGAAAGAGAAAGATTGTGAAGAGATATCAAGTAAGCTTAGTTCCTTGGCCAGAAGGTAACATCTCTAAGTTTAATTCAAGGTGGTGGTTTTAATGAAGTACTGTTGGAAAATAAGTTAAGGTAGCTTAGAGTATAATAACCCTTGGGAATACACATTTCTCTCTTGCTGGTTATAAATACTCCATTAACTCATAATTCTCTCTTATAAATAAATGCTAATATAAATATTGAATGGAATATTTTCTGTTCTTTAGAGGCCTCAATTCAGCAAAGCTGTTAACTATGGGCTTACTTTTAGCTTGAAGTCAATGGGACTTAAGCATGTGTTTCACTGCTTTCCTGATTAAGGATCGACAGGGCATATGTTTAAGTACTTACCTGAGGCACATTTTCTTTTAGTTACTGAACAAGAGGCAAAGAGCCTAATTGTGCCCTTAGCTATGCACACAAAACTTCCATTGACTGAATTTGGGAGCAGAATTTGAATATTAAGGACAGTAAAAATAATAATTGGAAAAAAGGAAAACACCTTCCCAGTATTCTTTTTAACACACATTGCTTTTACAGTTATTTTTTATTTAGTAAAGGTACTATTCAGTATTCATACTGTTTCCTTTTTGTGTGTGTGTGGTTTTTTTTCAGCTTGGAATGTGAAAATAAACACTTCACCTTTACATTTTGATTCTCATGCACTGGCAAAACACTGCAGTCATTAATTGGGTTATAGTCACTGCAGGGAAATGTTACAAAACCTTCTGTTTCTGCATTAGGAACATTTGTTTATGTTAATTATTTTTAAAACATGTTTTGTAAAAGGAAACATGGGGCGTGGTGGTAAATATTTCAAATTTTTGTACTTAAAGATGAAACCACTAAAACCAGAGGTACTTTTTAAAGCACAATAGATACGTCCTGGGATTTTAAGACAATAGTTTGATACCAAAAACATTACTTGTGCCTTGCAGTTGTGTTTTCATTGGAAACGTAAACAAAGGGGATTTCATAGTGGTTTTACACCATTGAGTGTAATGGAGATTTAATTGTAAATAGTTCCTTATAAATAGACCTGTGACTTAAGCACTATCTAAGCATGTATGGGTGTGAGAAAGATGCATCAGAAAGCAAATCTCCCCCCCCCCCCCCCGCCCCGGAGGGCTCACTATTCTGCCATTGGCTTTTTAAAAAA